TACAAAAAAAAAAAAAATTATAATAAGAAATACTAAATTATACGATGTATAGTTTTTAAATAGAGAAAAGAGATATAGAAATTCTTCAAAACATTTTATTAATTAATTATCCCTATTTTTTTTTGAAAGGCGTTACTTTGTATTGAAAAAATGGTTGAAGTGTCAGTCACCTGTGACGGACACGGCCTAAACGTAAAGTCTAGTGTCAGTCATCTATGCTTGACATGGCGATCAACGTGTTAAATAAACATTAGCATTCCCCATCTGGATATTTTGGATTTAACCTGTAGAAAATACGGACGAACACGTTCGTCATTTTATTTCATATACGACTCCTACTGCTATATATATATTTATTTATCTGTCCTATGTATTTGTGTGTATCGTAAGACAGAGTAGTAGGAGCTTTCTAAAAGCTCGCACTTTATTCTCCCAACGGACTGATAGAAATCGTTGCTGAAACATGTGCGTATCATCCACGAGAACGACAACGACGACGACGACAACGACAACGACGTAGACGATGAAGACGAGGAGGACGAAGACGATGGTACCATCAGAACCATTGCGCAGTTGTTGCTATCTATCGTATGGCTTCGGGACACCATATTACTTCTCTGTAGTATAACATACATATACAAGCCCTCCTCGTACATGTAGTACGTTTTATGAGCGACATTGTACGTGTCCCTGATAGTTCATGTTTTTACCAAGAGAAACGTAGATGAAAAATAGGAAAAAAAAGAGGATGGATGAGAGAGGGGAGAGGGGGTGGGGCCAAGCGGTTGAAACGTTTTACGCGTGCGAAGAAATTTTACATTTTTATCGTGGTAGTCTATTAAAAAAAAAAATTACAAAAATAAAATAAAAATATATGTGTGTGTGTGTGTGTGTGTGTGTGTGTGTATGTGTATATATTTATATATAATAATAAAATAATAAAAAAAAAAAATAAATCCTCTATACTACCTTTGATTGGAATTCTGGGAAACACCCGATAATATTCTCCAAGGATATTTCTTTTAGAAACTGAAGAAATAAATGAAACAAAAGAACAAAAAAATTATTATTATTATTATTATTAATCAAATATCAAATAATTTAATTGTGAAGAAAAATAAAAAACAATGAAAAAAAAAAAGGAAGAAGAAAACTAGAATTCGTGTAGAGTCGAACGAACAGAAAAACGAAGCCGGCGAGTTTAGTTTATAAGGGTATAAAAATTTGCGGTGGAAAAGCAATGGGTAATGGGATAGCACTCACCTGTCCTAGGGTGGAGGCGGTCGAGCCAGGTGGTTGGGGTTGATGCGCCGTCGCCGATACGGGCGTGAGGGGCGTGTGCGGGGTGTGCGGTGTGTGCGGCGTGTGCGGTGTCAGCGGTGTGTGGTACTGCTGACTGCTGTCACCACCGGTGCTTCTCATCTCGAGATCTGGACTCGTCTCGTAACCGTCGTCCCTAGCCTCTTGCTTCACCAACACACCTAAATCAAAGTTACACTCTTCTCAATATCAACCCAACAAATATATATATATATACACATACATATAAAGATATATATATATACATGTACATATACAATTTCTTATCATTACTATGATTTATGTATATACTTATATTCATTCAATTATATCTTTCTCTTTCATACGCTTTTCTTTGCAGGATTTTCATCGTCATTCGAGCTTCTTCGTTTCGCATTCTGGTTCCCGACCAATCAAATAATCTACCAATTCGATTATTATTATTATTTTGTTTTTTTTTTTCTCATGATTGCTAATCCGGAACTAAAATGTACGATTTTTTTTGGTATACACTTACTATACACTTTTCTTTTTTAAAGTCATATTGATATTAATATCAATTTGTATTATCATCGTTCGTTTAATGGTAAACTAAAATAAACCAAAACCTTCGCTTTGTTTCAGAAGCACAATCAGCCATTAGCCATATTTTATCTGAAAATAAGACTATCATACAAATGTAATAATAAACTTCAAAGTTATTTTTTATCATAAATCAAATAACTAACTAAAATTGTCACACCATTCGTAAATAGAAAGAACTCTTCAAAAGTATAAAAAAAAGAAAAAAAAGATAAATAGAAAAGATTATAGAAAAGGGCACGAAAGAAGAAGAAGAAGAAGAAGAAGAAGAATTAGAAGAAGTAGAAAGTAACACGAATATAAACGTGCGAGAGTATTACGCGTTAAGCCGTAAAATACAACAACAACAAAAAAAATGAAAAAAAAAAAAAGAAAAATACACAAAAATAAAAAGAGAGCAGGCGAAAGGAAAAAACGTGTTGATTGTCGATCGGAAACACTCGTAACTTTCCGTAAACGCATATATATATATATATATATACTACATGCATTCATACGTACTACTACAAAACGCATCGACAAGTTGACACGGAGCGCGCGGTGGGTGCAAGCAACGCTTCAACTATAAGGGTGGTAGAGGAAGGGTTGTTGGTAGGAAGGGTGGAAGGGTACAAGGGAGGGAGGGAGTTAGGGAGGTTTGGCCGCGCGCGCGAATCATCGTTTCATCGCGACCTAAAGAAAAATTCTATGCGTGTCGTTTGATCGACGGCAACCGATTGACAGAGTTTTTAATCGACATCGGATATCGATTTCTCATAACGTTTCCGCGCGCACGTTTGACACCGCTTGTACTCGTATTAAAAAGAACACACACACACACACATATACATATACATATACAGCAGCTAAACAAAATTCTGGATGTCGGCACGAAAATAAGTATTTATATATATGTATATGTATGTATTTTATGTAGTATACGTATTTGCTAAGGACACAACACAACTTTGATATTTCTTCCACGTGTAAATTATGCGTTAAAAAAAAAAGAAATGCGAAATATTGTAAAAAAAAAAAAGTATAGGAAAAATTAATTTGATAATACTATTTAAACATACTAAATGTTAATGTCATACTAAACGTCTACTAATAGATGATAGTAGAAATATATCAATTTATTGCCAAATCTTGACTTGTTGTCTCTATTCAATTAATTCGCAATTTAAATTGAAATACTTTTTCATTTACCGACCGGACAAGAGAATAAATTACGGAAAAAAGAAAATTCCTCATATATATCCTTCTCCCCCCTAAAAAGAAACATCCTTATCGACAGAGGATCGATTAAGCTCGACGAACAACACACACACATGCAGCAAATACGTTCATTAGACTATATTTGAAGTCTCTTCCTTGCATTTTTCGACATATCAATTTCTTTTTATTCTATCCTTGATTATTTGTCTTTCGTTTTGTCTTTATTATTTTTTTAATTATTATTATTACACTTTTTTACTTTCGTTTATTTTTTCTTTTTTTCCATTTTTTTTTTTTCAGTTTTTTTTTTCAACGACTATACACAATACCATACCACATCGACGGAGTTTAATATTTTCAAATTATTCGCATATTATACGCGCGGACGCGTACTTGCATGGCATGCGGCACGTCGACTGATTTGTATGGGAGTAGTCAAGCGATAAAAATATGACGTAAAGCTAATTTAATAGGGAAAAGAATTCGATGGGGAATTTTTTTTTCTTTCATTTTTTTTTTTTTACCCGAACGTCATTTAATCAACATCGTTACATCGCACCATCCGTTTGACTTTATTGCGAATATCTATATTAAAAAAGGAATAGCATTTACATGCACACATGCACATACACATTCATACATACACATACATACACACATATACATCCACACGAATACGTGCGTGCATGAGTTAGATATATATTTAATATATTAGATCATTTATATTAACCTTTGCTTACCACACAACACGTGGTTCAAAGGAACCCCCCAGACCTTTTCTGCAACTTGAATCATTTTTCTCAATGGTTCAACATTGATCCAAATTTTTTTAAACATATTTAACGGGGAAACTTACAGGGAGGAATGTATTGGTGAAATCGATGTATTGTGAGTGATTCAAACGATTCAAAAATCGTGAATTTTAACGTTGAAGACAAGGAGCGTTCCGGAAAGCTGAAAAATTTGGAAGACGAAGAATTGGAGACTTTGCTGGATGAAGATCCGTGTCAAATTTAAGAAGAGCTTGTGCTGTATTATTGGGCGTCACACAACAAGCCATTTCCCTGTGCCTGAAAGTTTTGGGATTCATCCAAAAAGTTGAAAATTGAGTGCTGTACAAGTTGAAGCCGAGAGATGTCGAACGGCGATTTTGCATGTCAGAAATGTTGCTGCAGTGGCATAAAAAAAAAAAGTCGTTTCTACATCGTATTGTCACTGGTGACGAAAAGTGGATCTATTATGATAATCCTAAACGCAAAAAAAAAAAAACATATGCAAAGCCTGACGAACCGGCCAAATCGACGCCGAAGTGAAATATTTACATGAATAAGGTGATCCCACCAGATGGTGGGATCAGAAGGCAGTATACTACAAACTATTTCCGAATGGTCAGACCATTCAAGGACCATTGTATCGAACCCAACTAATTCTTTTGAAGCAGGCATTGGTGGATAACCGGAATATCCAGAATAGAAGACCAGGCACGAGTCCGTAGTTTTTACACTATGACTACGACTCGGCCAGATGTTGCTGTGCTTCGGTCAAGAACTATTTAAATAATAATGGATGGGAATTTCTACCTGACCCGTCTTATATTTCAGATTTGGCGCCAGATTTGACTACCACATGTGTTTCGGTCGATGCAAAACGCTCTTACCGGAATGCGCTTCATTTCAGAAGAGGGTATCGAAAATGGGTTCAATAGAATTCTTGGACTCAAAAGATGAGAACATTTTTTCATTCGGAATTCATAAATTGTCAGAAAGATGAAAACAAATTGTATCTTCCGATGGACAACAATATTTCGAATGAAAAATATTTAAACAATTTTTTTCAGAATAAACCCTCAAATTTTATGGAAAAAAAAAAAAAAACACTGACAACTTACTTACAGATCCAATATATTTAATATATATATATATATATATATATATAATTAATATAATATAAAATAACGTGCTATATTATAAAAATATTGCAACGTATGTAGGATGTATATATGTGTATATTATGTTATATATCTATATTCTATATCTTTATAATATTCCATGTAATAAAATATATCAACGATCTATCGATCGGTAATACTTACCCTGAGAACAATTCATGGACGCCCCATTTTGAACCCCGTTCTGCACAGGCGACGGATACGACCTGAAAATAAATAAAAAAACGAGAAACATGCTTAGTAATGATTACACTGTAACGTAATTTGATCTAATCAATTTTATATTAACAATTATTTTCATAATATCTAATATCATTAGGTATAGTTTCATTTTTACATTTTTATGGATGACCGAGTTTTATACTCCACGTTGCATGAAAATCATCAGGGGGATTGTAATTAATCAAATAGATAATACCATAACGAAGATATGAAAAGTACGTATGTAGTAGTAGTAGTAGTAGTAGTAGTAGTAGTAGGGTTGAAAAATGTTTTGAGCTTAATATATAGAAACTATTTTTCTTCTTTTTTTTTTTTTTTCAGTTAAATTCACTTTTATTCTTCGACATAGTCTGTAAACTTTTACAATAGAATAGATTGAAAACTTTTCAACTCACTCTTGTATATACAGGATGTCCTGTAACCACCTTGTATAAAAGATTACATATGTATATGTGTTTGTGTATTTATGTATGGTAGGAGACTATCCTTAGTTCTAAGTACATGCAATATTTTCTATATTTATAATAGAATTATATTTTAATTTTAATATATCTATATATATATAGATATATATATATGTTTCTCGATAGTACAAAGACTATGGAATTTCTTATTTAAAAATTACACAGTATAGGATAATCGAGAGTTATCTTAGGGATAAGAAAGAGAAAAGGATGCATCAATATTGCATCATCGTATCGAGTGGTATATAAGGGGTGTATTTTCCTTCTTCTTCTTCTTCTTCTTCTTCTTTTACCTTAGAACAGAATTCACTTTAGTAGTTAATTCTATTTTCATCCACATATAATCTCTCATATATTTTCTATTACCCCTTAAACATATTGTATCATATCGCATAGACGAGGAGATCATCGAAAGTTTCTTTCATTCTTTTTTTCTTTCTTCTTCTTCTTCTTCTTCTCTTTACCTTAACGAGTCTTCTGGAATCGTTTTAAAAAAAAAAAAAGAAAAATATCCACTTACATTCTCATATTCTATTCTCTCTTCATTCTTTAGACCCTTGTCTATCTCTCTACGTAAATTTTTGTTACACGTGTTTCAACTTATTTTACCGGATAATGGAGACTCACCCGAAGGAAACTTTTACCTAATTTTTCTTTTTCCTGGTTGGTGGAAAGGAAGAAAGAAAGGAAAGGAAAAAAGAAATCAGCTTACTACTTACCACCCCTACCCGGGTAGGTGGGTGATTGTTTGGTGTTGCTTTTGGGATCACTTAAATTGATTTTGAGAAAAACCATGTGACCGGTCTGTTCAAAGAAATATGACGATGACAAATACGAAACGTAGAAACATTCGTTTCATTTTCATACCAAGAGGACCTACGACAAGGAAAATTACAAAGAGAAGTTTGAAATAAGGGAAGAGAAAGGACAAGGAGTATCAAACGTAGCAGCAGGTGGTCAAAAGGAAGAAGAATTAGTCAGTTGCGCACGTGGAAGTTGTTAAAAAAAAAAAGAAGGGAAAAGAATACCAAAATAGGTGGATAGGGTGAGCAAATAAAGAAAAGAAACCCTCAAAAAATTGAATAAAAATTCCTAAAAAAGGGAGAAGAAGAAGAAGAAGAGGAAAAAAAAGGAAGGTGTAAGAAATGTTAAGAAGAGATCAGAAGAGAGAGAGAGAGAGAGAGAGAGAGAGAGAGAAAACGATGAAACGGTGCCACATGAGGCCCGCGTTTTGTCGACATACAGCGTTGCCAACGTTGCCGCGTTAACGGCAACGATGATTGGTCCTCCTCCTCCTCCTCCTCCTCAGGGAGTCCCCACCACACCTCATACGGCATACCCATTACGAATACGCGTGTCCTCGGAGATGGGATGGAACAGTACCGTCGAACGTATATACATATACCAAAGTGCAACAGAACGACGAGAGAAAGAGAGAGAGAGAGAAATAGAGAAACTAGAAACTAGAAAGAAGAAGAAGAAGAAGAAGCAGAAGAAGCAGAAGTAGAAGTAGAAGTAGAAGTAGAAGTAGAAGTAGAAGTAGAAGTAGAGAAACAACAACGTTCCACATTGGTGCGTACCTTTTTCTCCTTGCCACGAGAGCATTGCTCGCGCTTCCGCGCGCTAATTCGAAAATACTCGGAATAATTTTCAGCCGTGGCTTCTATATGCATCGTCTAGTTCGTTCCTCTCTCTCTCTCTTTCTCTTTCTCTTTTTCCTTCCCTTCCTAGTTCAATCTCTCTCTTTCTCTATCTCTTTCCTTCTCTTCCTAGTTCAATTTCTCTCTCTTTCTTTCTTCCTCCTTCTCTTAACGTTACGTACTTCTTATGTGTCTCTTCGTCGTCGTCGTCGTCGTCGTCGTCGTCGTCGTCGTCGTGCTCGGCACGCTCCAACCTAACTTCTCTCTCCTCTCTCTCTCTCTCTCTTACATACTCTATGTACTTGTACGGGTAGAGAGTATGTACGCGGGGGCTAACGCGTATGTACCACCGCGAGAACTAAATATACGGTCGGAATATAGGAAGAGGAGGTGGTGGAGGTGGAGGAGGAGATGCCAGGGTAGGAGATGTGCTTGCTACGTATATATATATATATATACATACAGATACGTATATAAATACATACATACATACATACGCACGTACATAAATACATATACATATACATAGAAGTACTTGCTGGAAACGACTATGGCCAGTGGCGGGGGTGGACGAGCCCGGCGGTCGAGGGGTCGAGAACGGTCCTGAGTGCAACAGAGATAGAAAGAGAGAACAGAGCAAGAGAGCAAGAGAGCACAGAGAGAGAGAGAGAGAGAGAGAGAGAGAGAGAGAGTGTACGAGACGCAGGGAGGAAAGAGAGATCCTTTACGTTCGTAGGAAAGGCTTCGAGTCGCACTTGAAAGAATAGATTATGTACATCATACTCTACACGCACACTCACACACACACACGCATATAATACGTGTATCGGTCTTTTTTCGTTTTTTTGTTTTATCATATTTTTCTTTGATTTTTTTTTCTTCCTCCTAAATGTCTCACCAGCCATGTTTTTCTTTTTGTCATTTTTATTTCATCGCATTATATTTTATTATTACATTTTGTTCGTTTAATATTTTCAATCGAACGAAAATCGATCCAATAAAAAGAAAAACGATGGGTTTTGTTTGGACGTTAATATCGGCACACGCTAGGGAATTTTTCTTTTTCTCTTTTCTTTCCTTTTTTATTCCCATCCCCTCTCGTCTCATCTCTAGGATTTGTCTTCGCGTTTTTACTTTCGTTTACGCTTAGTTTCTTTTCGTCTCGTTTCGTTTCGTTTCGTTTCGTTAACAAGGTGAAGAGAGAAGAAGAAGGAAGGGGGATGAAGGGGTGTGGTGAATTGGGTGGAAGGTACGAGGAGGGTTAGGGAAAAAATAGTTTGAGAAACTTTTGACCCCTTTCGAGTTCGTTGTCGCGAACGAAGATGATCTGGGATCAGAGAAATAGCACGTTCGGTAATACTACGCTTTTCCCTCGAAACTCCTCGGATTGAGTTACCATCGCACACTACCTACACCCTCCTCCTCCCCCCCTCTCCCACTATCTACCTCCCACCCACTATCTCCTCCTCCTCCTCCTCCTCCTCTTTCTCTCTTTCTCTCGCAGTGCCGAATTCACCGAGAGCTTTTCTTGTGAAATCGGAGCTTCGATGGATGCTTTTTATCTCGGTAGAACACGGAACATGTTTGAAAACAAAGTAGCCCCCCCACACCCAAGCCATCAACCCATCAAACCACCTCTTCCACCGCCTCCTACTTCACCCACCCACTCTTTTCCTGTAGTCTCTCAAAGCTATTACAGTCCAAAACTTTATTTCTACCTTGTCTATATGCAACAAGAAGAAATGCGATTATTTCATGAATATACCCGTCGTCCTGTCGTATTTAGTAAGTGCGTGTAATGTAATGTTTTTTTCTACCTTTTATTGTCTATTTTCCTTTTTTTTTTGTTCTTTTTTTTCTCTCTCTAATTTTATTCGTATCGTAGAATTATCTTCCTTTTTCATTTCGTTCTATTTAATTTTGTGCCTCTTATTTGATCGAGATATTTTTTTAAGCAAATAAAAAGTCTACGAGAAATGTAAGATTTTGGAGAAGGGTTTAAAGTTTAACTCACCCTCCGCCACCCTGTTTTCAGATAATTTTTCTTCTTTTTATTATTGTTTTTTTTTTTAAACGTAAACAACATATACGTTATTTATTTACGTTTATTTTATTTCTTTCTTTCGTAATTATTTATTTAAATATCTCCTTATTTAACGAAGTTGTAATATTCCCTGCAACAACATCACGGGTAAAAATGCATTTTACAAGTATATAAGGAGAGTAATTTTTTGAAAGAAACTTTTTTTTTCATTCATACACTATATAGTATATTCTTTTTGTTTGTTTATTTTATTATTATTGTTGTCTTTTCTAGTGTTTTTTTTTTCTTTTTTTTACATCATGGGAGAGCATATCTCGTATCAAATATCCCGCGTATTTATATGGTTCACGGAACTACGTCGGGAGTAGGTGTATCTTGTTGCTGTTCTGCCAGTAGCAAGCAGTATCCCTTTGTAATCTTATTTAGCATCCCCCAACTGTGTGTAGAAGTAGATAAAAATCTCTCTCTCTCTCTCTCTCTCTCTCTTTAGTTTTACTCTATTTTCTCATCTTTCCAACAAGAGAAGAAAAAGAAAAGAAAAAGAGAAGGATAGATAACATGTTCGCGTTCAGAAAAGAAACATTCGTGTATTTCTGGTATACGGAAAAGCGCGGTATAATCCCTTGAATCACGTAGTACTCTAAAAACAAGATGGCGACGATTTCTTTCCGTCTCATGTGAAAAAGAAAACATTCAAGAAAGAAACGAATAATACGTGTGTGTGTGTGTTTTTTTTTAATTTTTTTCTTTTTCTTTTTAAAGATAAGTCGAAGAAATGAACACACACACACACCAACGATACCATTTGTTGTTTTTAAAAAATAAGAACATGTTAA